ATTATTTAAAGATAAAGGAAATAACATAAAATATGAAAGCCTAAAATAGAAAAAAAAAGTATTAATCTAAGGAACTATTAATCTAAGAAAATAAATATAAAATAGAAAAGAAAATAGCTTTTTAGTATTAATCTAAGGAAATAAATATAAAATAGAAAAGAAAATAGCTTTTTAATCCAAGAAAATAATTTATTCCTCATAATTTCTCGCAAGAATAAATTATTTCATAATATAACTCTTAACAGATATAAAGTCGTTAAAAACTAATTCTAAATCTCCTCAATTACTTTTAAGTTTGTATAATCAAATGTTAATAACTCTAAATGATCAAGTCAAGTCCGATCAAAAACACACTCGACTTGACTCGACTCAATTACAACCATAATCTTAGTAATTAGGGTTGCAAATGAACCAAACGTTCGACAAGATATTTATGGCTTAGCAGGATTAAAGCTCAATCATGATATTTGGTTAACTAATTGAACAAGCTTGAACACTTATGAGTGCTCAATTGCTAAAAGAACAAGTTTGAATAGCTAGTTGTTTGGTTCATTTATGTTCTTGAAACACATCATTTAAAGCTCATGAACAAGCTCTATTATGGCTTGTTTACAAGTCACTCAAGAATAATATTGTTTGAATATTTATTTTTAGGCTCAAAAAACATTCTTTGATTTCGATCATTTATTTTTCCCAACAAATTGCTCATAAAGAGTTTGCTTAAAGCTCAATTATAGCTCGTTTATTTTGCTAAACATGGTGTTTTGAACTAAGCACAATAATCCCAATATGTAATGAGCTTAAAGCTAGAACATGGTATTTATAAACGAGTTTGAGTTCGAACATAATTTCAAAAACACAAATCGAGCTCGACATAAGCTCAAACAGCTCTCAAGAAATGAGCTTCAGCTCGAAAAAGCACCTAATTGGCCCGGCTTAGTTCGTTGCAGCCCTATTGATAATTGACATGCAAGTCGATACAATAGAGGGTTTGACACTAAAGGATCAACTTTTTCATTATATAGCATCCAGTTTCAGGAATGTATACCCTTCTCTATTGACTCTGGACGAGATCTTCAGAGTAGATCAAAAGCTAAAACACCCCATCAAAATATGTGTTTTTGTATATCATCTCTAAAGACTTCCGTTATTGCACAAGCTTGCTTCCTCAAGCGAATTTCATTCCACTAAAATTCCACTCCTCTTTGCAAACAAACCATCCAATGTCAACGCTTTTCCAACAAAAACACATGCCAACACCATTTCAAAGTTTGCAACATTCCTCTCCGTTCATGTTGTGTTCAATCTGCGGTTTGAAGTGCGCCTGCAAATTTTGACCCTGATGGCACATTTACAAACACCTCAACACCTACAAAGCCATGGTACAATGCCATGAAAACATCGAACATAAATCAAGGCTGGGAACCTACACAACAATATGACTGATTACACAAAATGAACTTAGAAAATTAAATTTCCAAATAGGATATGTCTAGCGCTTAAAAAGCACAAAAAATATGTGCAAAGGCCTATTTATTTCTTCAATGTGTAAAGCATGCAGTGAAGGAACGCTTTTAATCACTAAAGCACGCCAGTAGCTTGTATATCATGTATACATATATTATGCCTACACAACAGTCAATTAATCAAACTTAAATGACATCAAAAAATATTTTTTTGCCAATATAACAATGCATTCAACAAATGCAATTTCCGAATTTTAAAACTAAATTAAAAGAATTTATAATATAAAGAACAAAGTAATGAAGAATACTTGAAAGACAATAATACTCATGAGATTGAGAGGACAGCTAGAGATAGAAAGGTAGAGACAACATTAAACAAAAATTTAAAGATCAGACGCCGCGATGCGTGTAGAGGATACTGTTATAAAGGCGCCTAAGGGCAATTTAATATTTATTTGCCTAAGGACAATTTAGTCAGTCGTTAATTATTATTGTTTAGTATAAATAGGGCTAATACGTTTATAGTTACAGTTATGTAGAACATTGTTGTCTTGAGTTTTAGGTTTAGGGTTTGGGAGAGACTGCTGCCTCTCGAATTATAGGTGATTATCTTTGTATTCATGTTGAATGTTTGATGTTATGGCCAAAAAACATGTGTTTGCCCTAATTTCTACGTAAAATCTACAAAAAATCCTATCAAATAGTATCAGAGCAATTAATTTATGGGAGATAACCGACAGAATGTCGGTGAATAGGGCTTGAACTCATTCTGCACTAATCAAAGCCAACGGGAAGCATACAAGCGCGAGCAATGATTGAATCACGTGGGACCGCGAAAAGAGCTTGTTGGGTTTGTAGCCTTTGTTGTCCCAACCAGGTCGCAACGTCCAACGTCAATATAGTCGTGCAAAGAAGTCGAGGGAAGCAGCTTCAGAATTGTGGCGTACAAGGAAGAAGGATTGTGATACAGTCTAACAAGAATCCTCGCACGTTAGTTGTGATTCAAATTATCTGGGAAGCAATGTTAGAATCACGGCATACATGGAACATGGGGCTTCACCGACTCGTGATAAAGTCGCGACTGATGAGGATGATGGATCACAACATACAGAGCAGCATCAATCAACCGATCTGGGCGCAAACGATCAGATCGTGACTTACAGTGACTTGATATCACGATACAATTGCGATTGGAGCTACCTAAGAAGCAATGACAGGATTGAAATGAGCTAGGATCACTGATTAGTGGTACAATCACAATAAGAGCTAGCTGGGAAACAAAAACAGAATTTCAGGCTATAAAAGTTTTGCTTTTGTAATTGAACGTTTTCCTGTAAGTAATGGATGCTGATAAAATATGTCTTTGAAAGGAAACTAAAGGGAGAGTTGAACCAAATCAAATCTAAAAAAGACAAATGTTTCTCGTCCATGGAGGAACGGATGGAGAGAAAATTCATAACCCTGGAAGAAATGATGAAAAAGATCATGGAGTTTCACAAAAAATCATCTATGCCTGCAACAGGATCGAGAAACAACGTCAGGAACGGATGCGAACAACAGTAACAAGAAGGATTCACACGACAACAAGGCAACATTACTGCTTCAGGTGAATCAGAACTACAGTATCGAGCAAAGATATCAGGAGAAGACTAGAGCAGCAACACTTGGAAGAAATAGTGAAACATTTGAATGGCTTAAAGAACGGAAGCAAGCAGAGTCGAAGTTGACAGAGATAGAAGAAACACATGATACGGTGGTGATCGATGAGGTACGAGATGAGTTGTTCGGGGCAAGATATTCTCTAAGATTGATTAGAAATCAAGACACTATCAGATTTTGATGCGGTTGAAAGATGTACACATGACGACGTTTCGAATTCATGGGGTTCACTACGAATTTCTGATTAAATGAAAATGATTGTCAGATGACGGACCATGAGAACTATACGACTTATACCAGTAGCAGTGTTTCCCACCATGAGGACAGTATGCCATTTTGGGAGAAGAGTAATATCATGACCGCGCCTATGGGCAATTTAGTCATTTATTATTTATTATTGTTTAGTATAAAAAGGACTAATATTTTTAGAGTCAGGGTTTTAGAGTCAGGGTAATGCAGAAGATCGTTGTCTTGAGTCTTATGTTCATGAGGACTAATATTTTTAGAGTCAGGGTACTGCAGAAGATCGTTGTCTTGAGTCTTATGTTCATGATTTGGGAGAGATTTCCTACCTGTAGAATTATGAAAATTGAAAGAGATCGTGTGACACTCAAATTGTAGGTGCTTTTCTTTGTATTTGTGTTTGTATTGAATTTTTTATTTGTTTGTCCTAATTTTTATGGAAAATCTACGAAGAATTCCAATCAGATACACAAATAATCATTCTCTTCTCTTGTAAGGAAGATAGCACCAACAAAGAGAAATATTAAGAAACATATAATAAAATCAGCGGACTAAGGAGCCAAGTTAGAGAGAATTGCCAAAAATAAAATAGCTCTAGCAAAAGAGAACTAAGAACCAACTAGTAACAACTCATCCATTACAAGAACAAGCAATGAGAAACATGATGATGTGCCTTAAATATTACGACAAAGGCTTAATCAAACAGCAAAATTTGAATCAGGGTGTTATTCTAAACTAACGTGCACTTCTACCTATCATGCATGCATTGTCGAGAGCTCGCATGTCATGAGCAAGCAATGCACGGGGCTAATGCAACACTTACAGGCCACCTAAACCATGCTTTGAATAACAATAAATATGTTCCTTAATCACAATCAAGAGCCAACTAGCTTTTCTATCTTACGATTGCCAAAATTAGTACAAGTTTTCAGTTATGCAATTATTTTCATTCAAGGCGTGATACATAGCTCATTCATTATCCTAGATTAAGAAACTCAAACAAAAAAAAAAGGTGTAAAGAGCAGGAGATGAGCCCAAAATGAGATATAAAACCAAATGAAATTTGAATTCAGAAAGATTTTTTTGTTCCACCAACAAGAAAGCAATGAGGGAGGAAAATAAAATAATCATGAACTTTGGGTGATCTATACTAGTCCCTGCTATTTTTTTTATAGCGCCGACTATTAGTCAAAAGAAAAATCCCAATTCCTTCATCAATATGAAAAAAATCCCAACCTATTAAGCTCGTATATGCGCAAATAAAGAAAAATCTCACTGACAATTCATATGCACAGCATTCTTATAGTTAGCTCATATTTTCATCTTTTGGCATTTATATATGTATCACCTAATTCTTATGTATTTACATATCTAACACATAAATTTTAATTTTTAAAATTATACCACGCAAATCTTTTAGATCACATCAAAAATAACACTATTTTAACTTTTAAAAAGTGAAATACACCTTTTTTATGCAAAGGTGAGTTGGCATAATCTCAAATGCTTGATCCAAAAGCCTCATAAAAATACTAAATGAATGCTGACAAGAAAAGCAAGCCATAAAAGCATCAATGACATATACAAGGAACAAGAGTTATTACAAAGAGATAAAAATGGATAGAATCTTACCACAAAAGAAACTTCTTTCAGACAGCAAATACCCATTTCAATGAGATCCTTTAAACGGCCAGGGGTCCCAATAACTATATCCTGCAAGGTTATAAAAAACCCAGAAATTGTTTTATGAGAAATAGTCAAATTCTGCTGCTTCCACTAAAAATTCCTAAAATATGAGACTGAGTATATGACTTAGCTTAAAATGGCAAAGAAGAAAAAAGAAAAATGGGTGCATGCATTTATTATTAAACAAATTGAAATGATCCATGAATATAGGAAGGGTAGAAGGAACAATGAGCAACTTACAACTCCAGCTTTGAGGGAAGATATTTGTGGCCCTTTGGAAGTACCTCCATACAGACAAACGGATGTTATACCACAAGGAGATCCGGCGTCTCGTAAAACATCAAAAATCTACCATCAAAAAGCTCAAATTAGAAAAATGCTTCGTTGTTCGAAAGAAGAATATTTCCACAATATTTTGTGATGAAGAAATGATCTTTTTGTTTAACAAAAACATCATAAAGTATTAACTCACTATACGAACATAGAACATTACAACAACAACAAGCCTTTATCCACTAAATGGGGTCCGCAACATGAATATTTTCTACTCCATTGTGTCCTATTGAGTGTCATATTTTAATTTAATTCAAATAAATTAAGATTATTTTTTAAATAATATACCCAAGTCTTTCTAGGATTATTTCCGCGTTCTTAATATAAGTTGAATCTAAAACATCTTCTCTCTTAACTGTATCATCAAATGGTCGATGTTTAATGTGACTAAACCATCTAAGACGACTCTCTCTAATTGTCCAGCAGCGGAGCAACACCAACCCTATCACGGATATATTTGTTTTGTATTTTGTTTGTAAGTGTCAAGACACTCATCCACCTTAGCATTCTCATCTCGGCAACAGATAACTTTGTTTTATGCTTTTTCTTTTAAAGGCCAACATTCTACACCATAGAGTACTGCAGGTCTCACCACCATCTCATAAAATTTTCCTATTAGTCTAAGAAGTACTTTTCTATCACACAATAGACCTGAAGCATTCCTCCCCTTCAATCAACCAACTTGAATTCTACTAATAAAATCCTCATATATATCAGAAGCACTTTGAACAATAAACCTGAGATATCTAAAAGGTTCACACCTTTTAATGATTTGATCTCCCATAATTACAACTCTGCCACTAGAGCTACTATTGCTAAAATTACATTCCATGTATTCAGTTTAGTTCTACTTGAACAAAGGCCTTTAGACTTCAATGTAGACCTCCATTATTCAAGTTTTTTTTCTGAACTCTTTTTCTAGTCTTATCCATAAGAAGTAGATCATCAGCGAAAAGCATACACTACGGCACATCCTCCTGTAAATGTCCGGTGAGAATATCCATAACTAAATCAAAAATATATGGGCTTGAAGCCGATCCCTGATGTAATCCAACTGAAATAGAACATAGAACAATAAGAAGAAAAAGCATTATGAATCCTATAGGCTTTGTTAGACAATTGTGCACAAGCAAACAAAACCATATCAACATTATTAAGCAATGGTCATGCCTAGTTATGCAAGTTAGAATACCCATCAAGTGCATCAAACTGTATATAGTAAATGAAGCAGGGTGCTGTGTTGTCTTTCCTATCCCAACTGAAGATTTCAGAAGTAATACCTAATTAAAAAACAAGAAATACTTGTTGCAGCACATGTCTAAATATTATTTTTACTTGAGTATGAGTCCATTAATATTCATATCAGCTACAAAATTCTAGCATTTTTACAATGTAGTTTATCAAATTTGCAATTTAAAATATAGCTGGATAAGCTAAAATGTTTGACATGGACAAATGAGAGAGATACATGGAATAATACAACAGAAAAATAATCAAAAGATCTAGGTCCCTGAATGCTAAAATAAGGTGTTGTAAGTGTCTATAATGAATAATCAGAATAACTCAATCAAGTAGGCCGGAGAGGATGAAATCATTTGCGTTAAATTCTATGGCATTCATAGATCAATCAAACAGTCTAATACAGCTTTCGAGTGTTAAATTACACTTATTTAAAGCTAATAATTAGTGTACCTGGTATTAAAGAGAAAAAAAATTAAAATTTAGGAAATGTAAATATAACAATAAAAAAGCGGTAATAATTGCAGCAATGCGCATACTTGTTGAGCTAGTTCCCTGGTAGGTGAGAGTACAAGACAACGAGGAACTGCTTTCTTGGATTGTTTTTTATTATCCTTCTTTAAAATATGCATAAGCGCTGGAACGCCAAATGCTAGTGTTTTTCCTGCAGATAAATATCATCAGTAACCATGAAAAAAACTCAATATATAAACATTTTCCAAAGTTCAAAAAAAATCCTTAAAGATGAATCAAACTAAAAGGCATGCGGACAGTACCAGAACCAGTAGCTGCAATCCCGATGAAGTCCCGGCCATCCAAGAGAAATGGCCAAGCGTGTGCTTGAATTGGAGATGGTTTACTAAAAGTTTTGCAGCAGTGAAGTACCTCATCAGGAAGCCCGGAATCATCAAACTCACTCAAAGCCCTGTACTTGGCATCATTCACACCGTTCCCGGACACTGATACGCCATTTACACCTTCGATCTCATCTCTCTCTCCCAAGCTTTCCTGCCCGACTTTGTCCGCGTGGAAATTAGATTCCCTCTCTGTCTCATCTTTTTTCTTTATCTTCTTTTCCCTCTTCTCTCCATTCTTCAAGAGTTTTCCATCACTTACTGAAACCACGCCGGAGCACAGCTCGATCTCGGTGTGCTTTCTCTTCTTTTTGGCCTCCTTCAGCTCGGATTTGTTAAGGGCTTTTATTTTTTCTATTAAGTGGTCTCCATTTTCATCCAGGCGCTTAGTCTGGCCCTCCCTCTCCTCTCTCTTTTTGTCCTTTTTGTTCGTCTTCTTATTCTTCTTCTTCTTCTCAGAGAGATCAATTAAGTTGTTCGCTGCTGCAGTTTCAAGCGCTTCCGGTTCGCCGAGGCGCATGGCTTCCTCCGTTTCCAGCTTCCGCCCCATTGCACAAATCGAACGAGAGTTTAACCGGAGAGGAAGCCAAGAGAGAGGCCACCGGCAGACTAGTATTTAGGGTTTTTGAGCTTGAAGGGCAATATTTTCAAGATGCCTTCCCTAATTTTGTTAAATTACAGTTCTACCCTTGAACGGGCACGTCTGTAATTATGTGTTAGCAGTGATTATTTGTGTTCAAGATGAAAAATAGGAGTGTTTTCTTGTGAATTACTTAAATATTTAATATAACATTTTAATTATTTTAATTACAATCATTCTCTTGAGCTCATTCTTAAAGTTTTTAGTGAAAATTTTAAATGATTAAAATATTATATTTAATATATTGGATGATTAAAGTATTATATTAAATATCCTAAACGGTTCATATGTAAAAATTCATTAAAAATATTGAAATAAATATATTTAATTTTATTATTCTTTGGACAACAATTAAAAATCAGCATTTATAAATATATATATAATAAATAAAATATAGAATCCTAAAATTGAGCTACGATTTTATACGTGTGAAATAGATAAATGGACATATTAATTAACATATATAACCAGATAAAAAAAGGACATGTCATACTATCAAACCTAATTAAAAAGATTAGATTATAATTAAGAAAATGTCGATATATTTATAGGATTTTGAATTGAGCAACATCAAAATATGGTGTTTATGACTAAAAACCCTCAATTTTTAAAGTCAATTATTCTTAAAGTTGTCTTGTGAAGTTTTTAATTATATTTATAAGTAATTGGATTAATTACATTTAGAATTGTTCTATATATCATTAATTTTTCTTGTTGCAACTTTAATCTCGTCTATAAGTTTGTTAAAATTTTAATTAAAATATTCATAATTTTATCGTTAAATTTACGGGCTCAATTTTACATATATGAAAGTTAGGTCAACATCATGTTTAATAGGATGATTTCTTTATGAAACATCAAGCATTATCTTAATTGTCATATGTCCCTCATTTTTCATTTATGTATTAATCATATTCAATAATAACTTGAATAAACACTCTTAATTACCGATTATATGTGTTGAGATTTCTAATTTATAAAATCCAACTTCATGACCCAAAATTCATAAAATTAAATGACCAAAATTTTTGAATTTATGATTTTCACATACCCATAAATAAGATATACGTACATGTATTAACAATAATATAATTCAATTTAAAGAAATAAAATTTCTCTTTCTAATTCTTATTTATTTCTGTACTTTTCGATGAAGATAAAAGATACATACCTTATTAGGAGAGAAAGGACCCTTCTCTTATTTATAAGAGAAAAGATATGTATCTCTCTAATTCTTATTTATTTCTGTACTTTTCGATGAAAATAAAAGATACATATCTTATTAGGAGAGAAAGGACTCTTCTCTTATTTATAAGAGAAAAGATATGTCTCTTGGAAAGAGCACAACATTTCTCTTAATTATCCATTATTAACCACCATCCATCATGATGATTATTGACCAATAGGATTTATGATAATTTAATTAATTAATTAAAGCAAAAGGATACAATGTATTTTGGGAAGAAACATGAGCTTTCATTTAGGATAATTGAATTAGTTAGTTAAAGCGAACGGATGCAATCTCTATTGAAAAGAGACATGACTCTCTTATTTTTAGTTAATTAATTAATTACTATTAAAATAAATGACAGAGCACCACATAAATAAAATAATGAAAAACTAACAATATGATATATTTTTGCTTTAGTTTCACTTGGATTAACATTAAGAAAGACTTACAACTCAATAACTATTACATAATAAGTTATGATATATTCTTAAAATGATTCAGTCCAGAAGGCAGAAGACCAAATAAGACAACTATCTCTCTAAATAAAGAATTCATGTTAATATTAATTAAAGATATGCATACAAATTAAAGCTTTTTCCAAAGAAACATAAAATGCATTGTATGTCACTTGTCTTTAAATCAAAAAGCTCTCTATGTGTATATAGGATTGGCAATATTATAAATGTGCACCAACATTTAATAGTATGATCACTAACTAACTAGTTATATTTTGTATCTCACATAAGATAATTGAAATAATATTTTTTAAATTTAAAAAATGGTTAGTGGATTATTTTCTAAATTAATTTTAATTTGCTTATTAAATTATTAAAGATTATAGAAAATATTTTGTTCCTATTTTTATCATAAATATGTAAATAAAAAAAGCCGCACAATAAGAAAAGCAATTAACCAAATAATATAAATTATAAAGGTAATAAATTAGTGTGATTGTGCAATTTATAAAAGAATAAAGCGCAAACTCGTGTCGGTTGGGTGCATTAAATATTCTCAAAAATTTATAAACAAAAATAAAATCAAATTATATCATTTGTCGGACTATATGAATTAACATTATTGTGTGGTTTACATCGAACTACATCATAGCCTTATACTAAATAATTTATTATGTGCAAATTCTCAACTTATATGAGTGTGGCGGCTGTGAGAGTAGCTCATGGCACATTATCGAATCAAATTAAAATATATAATCTTAATATTAGGGTCTGTTTGGGGCAGCTGCAGCTTATTGAATAATATGTTGATATGTTGATTAAAAATAATATGTTGATAAACTAGGTGAGGTGATTATTATAATTTTTTTTTTTTTGGAAAAGTCAGACCGCTGACTGAAAGCAACCACCGAACCTAGATAGTTGTGGTGTGAAAACGCTGCTTTCAGCGTTTTCAAAACGCACAAGCAGTCAAAACACAGTTTACCCAAACAGTCCAATTGCGTTTTCAAAACTTCACCGCACCAAATAAGCTGCTCCAAACGGACCATTAGTTTTCTATTATTAGTTTTAAAGCTAATGCTGATGTAATTAAATGAGATTTAAAAACAAGTGCACACGCATATTATTTATAAAATATAAAAATCAATGGATTATTGATTAAAACAACCTAATGTGATGCATGCATGTGTACTTCTTATATTTAAAATAGGACATCTCTGGTAATCCTTCTTTAGCATTAACATGACACTATAAACCACATGCATAAAATGATACGATCAAAGTTCTATTCTATCATTTCAGAGCAAGGGCTTCATGCTTTGGTCTTGCTTTAGCTGCTCTAGTTTAAGTTTTTGCAACCCCAACTCAAACCAAGGCCTCATACGCTTAAAATAATTGAATTAAGAGCTTCGCTTGATGGCCAAGGGCTAAGGCTCAATGCTTTTGAAATTCCTAGAGCTAGTCAAGACTCACAAAAGTTAGATTTATACAAACATGTTATTGAGTATGACTTTTTAGCCTGCCTCTATTTAGGCAATACCTCAGATAGACCTTGATAAAATCAATAAATGGTCATTAGCCTAGAGCAAATGCTTCTTGGCTCATGCTATTTGTATGCATAAATACCAGAATAAGATAATTTTTTGAAGAGATTTTATTTTACTGGCTGAATCGAGCCCACCTGCCGAGGTGGCTGAACTGACCCACCTGCCGAAGTGGTTGAATTGAGTCATATTACGAGAATAGCTCAATCAAGTTTGTCGACAGAAGCAAATGAATTGAGCGCATGGGCCAAAGTGGTTGAAATTGATCCATCGGGAATGACGGTTGGAGTAAAGCAACAATTATAGCTATATCTACACTAATAAATACGCCTATCAATCCCTCATCAAGAGCACTGTCGAGCAATTAAGATAAGGGTCTCTCTCTCTCTCTCTTCCCTTCTTCATTCTCTATACCGTCGATTCTCAAGGGATCGCTCCCCTTCAACTCCTCGTGACGGAGAGCATGGGCCTATGTCGAAGAGAAACAAATCATAACAAAGAATGAATTTTATTGGGATAATTTAAGAAATCAAAGAGGTGTACTTTATCAATCTTTATCTCCTTCTCTTTCCATCATCTTCTATACACTCACAAGTTTTTTGTTGGGTTACATGTATTCATGAACAATACGGTATCCCAAGTCACAAAATGATTCAACACTATCTAAATTAGCAAAGATTGATCACCCAATGCACAATCTGGAGCCATTGTAAGAAAACCCTAATAAGTAGATAATTAGTGATTCCTAAAATTAAAGTTTCAAATCACAAGTAATACTCGTCATTCCAAGTCACATTATCTTTTCACCCCTCGCTTAAATTAGCCCATTTTTAGCTGAAAATTGATAACTTGGTTAATCCAAAATGACGGATCCATCATGTTAGCCCATCATCTGAAACTAAAAGGTCTTGTTAAATGCTTGGTCGTTGTGGTATCCATAATCTAAATTGCTTTCTTTAATCACAATATATAGTTAACTATAGACATCTTACTTTTATGCCAATTCTAGATCCAATATATAAATAAACTCTAACTCAACATTTAAAAGAAAAAAACTATCCACAATGGTTGTAGCTCAAAAGATTGTTCACAAAGACCTCTAATGTCCAGGCATGAACAAGAGATATCTAACTAGAATTACAACTCTCAGCTATCGCAAGAGGAAAAAATATTATATTGATTGTTCGTATGTGCAGAGAATTATTGGTATTTGTCGACGCCAGTCCATATACTTGTGAGAAGCGGCGTGCACGAATAATTAAGGTGTTATTCGCACGTAATGACTTATAAACAAAACTGAAGTACAAGATAATTGTTTTTATTAAAATATATTTGTTGCAGAAACATTTTACTTTGATTTTTTGGTCGCTTGTCTTACAAGAATTTACTTAGAAGTGTCATTTAATTTAAATAAAAAACCCTTGAAATGATTTAGGCGTATTTAGATACATACCACAATTCATACGCAATTACATATTTAAACCCATACTTTCATAATTATATGTATAGCGCTCAAATATTTAATATCTCATAAAAATACCCCCTTTATTTATTTTAAAAAAATGGAATATACTTTTCTTGCATAATTTATGACAACAAAGTATTATAGGTGTAAAATATAAATGTTTATATGTAACTGAGGTTTTTTTTTTTTTTTTTTTTTTTCCAACAAAAATTCTCTTGTTGAATTAAGGTCACCGGTCGAAATGGTGAATCAAGCTCGCCTACCGAAATGACTAAAACAAGCCCACTCGTCGAAGCAGCCGATCTGATCATTCTCGCCTTCCTGGAGAGACCAAGCTAGCCTGCCTATTCGGTGGTGACTATTCGAGAAAATCATTATGATCAATAAGAAAACTCTTGAATATATTGTCCGACAATAGGGAAAATATTACGTCCGTCGCGTAGATGCTCTAAAGACAATGCGGATCACACGACACCGTGCGTGACAACGGCGCGGTGTGACTCACACCGTGTCCAAACATACAATATCGAGACAAAATATTCTTTCCGTTGTTTTCCTCTGAACATTAATAAAATTTACTTTTTGTGACAACGGCGCGGTGTGACTCATACCGTGTCCAAACATACAAAATCGAGACAAAATATTCTTTGAGTTGTTTTCCTCTGAACATTAATAAAATTTACTTTTTTGGAGTTTTCTTGATAGGTTGAATGGCAGCCAGCAGCTCATAATCATGCCAAAAATTTCAAATTTGTTGGTCAAGTATTCTAATTTTAATATATCATACATTCATGAGATGTTTACGCGGACATTAATATAATACATAAACCCTCAGCCACCTAACTGACCTACCCAACTGTACTGCACCTCTCACATACCTCCAACAAGTCTGCTATCATCTATGCCTACGCCTCCACAAAGCACTCCATATTTTAGCAAGAATTGGTATAATACGTTAGAGCCTTGCGTTGGCAGCAATTTGCTTTCCATTAATTTAGAACTTTAGTTAAATAATGTATTAGTTGAAAGTTTGAAATGAATGTTGAGTTGACCAACAAAATCTAGTCAAATTTCGATCGAATCAAGAGATTTTGGGAACTCCACATATATATCTAAATCAATTTTACAGTTCATGGTTAATGATAGTTTGTGTTAGAGAAATTTATTTTTATAGCATAAGAGAAGACTTCTATTTGCTCGGATAATGTGTATGTCCTCTTTAAATATTTTAATAGATTTTGTAATAATCAAATCTTATGAAACTTGCTACATATTTCATTAAATCATTAAATAATTCAAGATCTTTTAAGAACAGTTATTAAAGCATGAATTAGATATAATCATATGAAACATTAATTT